ATCACGCCAGAGGCATATCGGCGACGGTTTAGAGACCTAAAGAGAAATGACAAGGACTCGCATGTGGAATGGGCTTGCAAGTTGCATCGGGCCGCTCTGGGGTGGGTACAGTCTAATAAGGCTCGGTCCATGGAGGACTTATTGCAAATGGTGTTGTTGGAGCAATTCTATGAGGGGGTAACAGGCGAGGTCCAGGAATGGGTGAGGGACAGAAACCCTACCTCCCTTACCGAAGCTGCTAGGAAGGCCGATGAGTACTTGGATGCACGCAGGCAGCAGAAACCAGCAGCCCCAAAAGCTATTTTTAAAACCTTTGGGGGAAACAGCTACAACCCAGCTCCACCGAGGCAACTACCACCACCACCACCCGCTGTACAGCCCCGGTTTCGCCAGCCCGCTTCTGGCCCCTGTCATCACTGCCAGAAGTGGGGACATTATAAAAGGGAATGTCCCCAGCTGAGGGATCGTTCTACCTGGATTCGCCCCGGCCCACCACCACCACCACCGAGAGCAGCCGCCGCCCATCACTACCAAAATATAGTGGCCACACCATATGGGTCAGCTGTTCCCATAACAACCGTGGAACAGTGGGAAGTACTACACGAGGCGGATCCAGTCCAGGCCAATGCTGATAACAGACAGCATCACAGGCAGACCGTATACTTGGAGGGTAAAGCAGTACAGGGCCTACGTGATTCGGGGGCTACCATCACCTTGGTCAAAAGTCATCTGGTCTCGGATGAAGCGAGACTAAGTAAAACTGTGGCCGTCAGGGTAGCCGGGGGAGCAGTGTACCGGCTACCTACAGCAAGGGTACATTTACATTGGGGAGCGGGGGCAGGACATGTGGAGGTGGGGTTGATGCCGCAGTTACCGGCGGAGGTTTTATTGGGGAACGATCTGGGGAGGCTCACATCTGCTTTTGAGCCCCAGACGCCCACCACAGGAGAAGCTCATCCTGTGGTCACCCGTCAACAGGCCCGCACCCAGGACTACAACACACTTCCGGAGGTTCAGGTAAGAGACCCTTCCCCTTCCCTTGACTGTGTCCCCTGGGCCCCTCCTAACGAATTTGCAGCAGAGGTAGTGACTGACCCCACCTTGCAGGTATACAGAGACAAGGTGACAGCAGACCCTCCGGGGGAGAGGGGGAGAGATTTGTCTGGGACAAGCAGCTTTTGTACAGGGAGACAGACAAGCAGATTGAGGGGTCAGACCCAATAGTGACGAGGCAGCTAGTGGTGCCGCAGCGGTACCGAGCAGAGCTACTCCGGATAGCGCACGATATCCCGCTATCCAGACATCTAGGGGTCAGCCGTACTAGGTATCGACTGACCCAAAATTTCTTCTGGCCAGGGATCAGCCAGGAAGTGCGCCGGTATTGCACCACCTGCGACACCTGCCAGAGGGTAGGGAAAAGGGGAGACCGGAGGAAGGCGAAGCTACACCCCTTGCCAATAATTGAGGAACCGTTTAGCAGAATAGCGGTAGACTTGATAGGTCCCCTCAAGAAAGCCAGCCCGTCAGGCAAAAGGTACATTTTAACGGTAGTAGACTATGCTACCAGATATCCAGAGGCGGTGGCTCTGACCAACATTCAGGCTGAAACGGTCGCGGATGCCCTCATGCAGATATTCTCCCGGTTGGGATTACCCAGGGAGATTATCTCGGATCAGGGTACCCAATTTACCGCAGAATTCACCCAACACCTCTGGAGGATCTGTGGCATTAAGCCTATTATCAGTGCCCCTTACCACCCCCAGACTAATGGGCTCTGCGAACGGTTCAATGGCACATTGAAACAAATGCTCCGAACCTTCGCAGAGACCCACAAGGACTGGGAGCGGTTCCTGCCACATCTCCTATTCGCTTACCGGGAGGTGCCGCAGGAATCCACGGGGTTCTCCCCGTTTGAACTGTTGTTTGGGAGGAGGGTCAGAGGCCCCTTAGATCTTATAAGAGAGCATTGGGAGGGAGACCGGAGCGCAGATGGCACCCCCATCATACCATATGTGTTGGCTCTCCGAGACCGCCTGGAAGCCTTAACCAGGACGGTAAGGGAAAACCTTCAGGCGGCACAGACTCGCCAGCGCACATGGTATGACCGGGGAGCCAGGGACCGTAGCTTTCAGGTCGGGCAGAAAGTGCTAATTTTAAAGCCTGTCCGACATGACAAGCTACAGGCCGCCTGGCAGGGACCTTATAGGGTGGTGGAACAGAGATGTGACACCACCTATATAATTGGCTCCTGTACAGGGACGGGAGGGCGACGCATGCTCCATGTGAACATGATGAAGCCCTACCAAGCGCGCTCCGAGGAGGTAACCGCCATATGCGCGCCCAATTCAGATGAGTCTGACAGCTTACCACTCCCAGATCTGCTGGAAGATGGGCAGCTGTCTGGGGATTTAGGGGAAGTCACACTGGGAGACCGGCTGAGCCCACAGGAGCGCATCGAGGTACAGCAGCTGTTGGAAGAGAAACGAGACACGTTCTCTAACGTACCTGGGTACACCCCTCTGGCCACTCACCGGGTAGAGACCCCAGGGCAATTACCGATGCGTCAGACCCCCTACCGCATCCCCGAAGCGGTAAGGGAAAACATGCGCAAGGAGATCGATGAGATGCTCCAACTGGGGGTGATTGAGCCCTCAGATAGTCCCTGGGCTTCTCCGGTAGTACTCGTACCGAAGCGGGACGGTAGCGTAGACTACCGGAGATTAAACGAGAAAACGGTGTCCGATGCATACCCTATGCCACGGATAGATGAGCTACTGGACAGAATGGCCAGGGGTCAATACCTCACTACCATTGACTTGTGTAAAGGGTATTGGCAAATCCCCCTGGCCCCAGAGGCCATCCCGAAATCGGCCTTTGTCACCCCATTTGGCTTGTACCAGTTTAAGGTCATGCCATTTGGGATGAAAAACGCCCCAGCTACTTTCCAGCGGATGGTAGACCGACTCCTGGATGGGTTCCAAGACTACACCTGTGCCTACCTGGACGATATTGCCATTTTTAGCAATACGTGGCAGGAGCACTTGGCCCATATAGGAGCGGTTCTAGACAGGATTAAGGAAGCTGGTTTGACATTGAAACCGGCCAAGTGCAGCATAGGGATGGCCGAGGTGCAGTATCTCGGACATAGAGTGGGTTGCGGCAAACAGAAGCCCGAACCAGTCAAGGTAGAAGCCGTGGCCCAGTGGCCCACTCCTAGGACTAAAACCCAGGTGTTAGCCTTTCTAGGGACTGCTGGGTATTACAGGAAGTTTGTCCCTAACTATAGCGCCCTCGCCAAACCTCTCACTGACCTTACTCGGAAGAATTTGCCCCGCCAGGTGACCTGGACCCCGGAGTGTGAGCAGGCATTCCAACATCTGAAAAATGCACTGATAAACGCTCCTGTCTTGGCAGCTCCCAATCCAACTAAACGTTTTCTTGTTCACACAGACGCTTCTATGTTTGGATTGGGAGCAGTACTGAGCCAAGTCGGAGCCGATGGCGGAGAACACCCCGTGGCTTACATCAGTCGCAAGCTGTTACCCAGAGAAGTAAGCTACGCCGCCATCGAGAAGGAATGCCTGGCTGTGGTGTGGGCCTTAAAGAAACTACAGCCGTATCTATATGGACAGCCTTTTTCGTTACTCACGGATCACAACCCGTTGGTCTGGCTAAACCGGGTGGCTGGGGACAATGCCAGGCTGCTGCGCTGGAGTTTGGCGCTGCAGCCTTTTGACTTTAATATTCAGTACCGCCCGGGTAAACAGAATGGGAATGCCGACGGGTTGTCAAGACAAACTGACCTGGAGAAATGATCCGTGAGTCCCCGGACATCCCCAAGCCGATCCGTGTTGGATCAGACTGTGTATGCCGGCTTGTGGGCAAGGGGGAGCAGTGTAGCGGATGGCACTGGGCTGTCCTGCAAATGTCTGTGAAATAATTGCATTCGTGTGATCTGTTAGTTTCCTATGTGTTTTAAAGCCTTGTATTCTTGTGATTGTTCGGTAGTTTCGTTCCCTTAGTTTATTCGAATGAAACTACCGAAACAACCAGACCTCCCCTGTGTGAAGTGTGTCCTCAATTACCCGTTGCAACATTGTTGCGAACGGGTAATTGAACAGTAAGTAGCCGTCCTTTGTTCTCGGGGGTGGCCGCCATTCGACAAACGAACACGTGGCGGCGGCCATTTTAAAACTCCCGAACAGCGGTGTTTAGCCGTCGAGTGTCTGGAACTAAAATCGGACACTCGAGTAGGCGAACACCGCTGAGACCTCCACAGCCCTGGTCCGTTCGGTTCCAAACTATAGATAGAGAATACCGAACGAGGGGATTCAGGCGAACCCTCCCTAGCCTCTATAGCTAGAGGTTTTCGTGTATTTTATTCCCTTATGCCAGGACCGACCGCAGGGCCCATTCACATGGAACCGAATTCGGCTATCTCAGTTCGTGCGGTCGGTCATTTTATTCCCTCCATACTTTTCCCGACCCCCTGGTCTGATCTGGGTGGTTTTTGGATATGTTGTTCACCCAGATCAGGGCTACCAGGGGATGTAGGATTTAAAGAGGTACCCCTACGTTTAGGGGTACATCCAGAAACGGGGGGAATTGGTGTACTGGATAAGGGGATTATGATGCTGGCTGAGGGGAGGAGATGTGTGGGAGGTTACCAGGACAGGATTGGCTACCGTAATAATTACTGTAATCCCTCCCTTGCATGGGAGCATGCTTTATAAGGAGACTGTGATTAAAGGCTTGTCAGTTCTGCTCCTGAAACTGTGTGTCGTCCAGTTATTGGGATTGCTGTGGGGAGGTTGCTGTTATTTTACCTGCTGGAAACTTTGCCTATGGATTTATTATTTACTTGTTCCTGAGCCTCACTTGGATTATAAGCGGAGACAACCTGGGGAATATTGCATCTCCGCTACATATAGTAAATAATATCAATGTTTCCTGGATTTTTAATAGAGAAGGAGTGCATTCAGCTCCTTCTGCACAAGAAGATGAAGCAGCGGATCAGTCTGTGTGTGGACGGCGGGAGGAAGAAGCCAAAGAAAGGCAGACACTGGCTACTGTGGACAGAGCCTTCAACCTCCGACTTCGACATCAAGGAGGATGCGTTTGATTCCCAAGGGGAGGGGGCGGCCACTGTGGTAGGTGAGAGGGCAGCCTGGTTGGATCATACTGACACATCTCGACACTAGGGGATCATACCAACACTGCCTGGGGGGAACATAATGAGATGGCCATGGAGGACACTAGGGAATCATTTCAACACTGCCCGGGTGACCATACTGACACTGCCTGGGGAGACCACAACAATGCTGCCCAGGGGGACCATACTGACACTGCCTTGGGGGGACACTAGGGGATCATACCAACACAGACTGGGGGGACCATAATAACATGGCCAGGGGACACACTAGAGGATCATATCAACACTGCCCGGGGGGAACATTATGACACTGCCCGTTGGTACACTGGGTAATTATACAGACATTGCCCGAAGGTTACCAAAATGACACTGACTGAGGAGACCATAATGGCACTGTCCAGTTGGAACACTAGGGCATCATACTGACAAGGCCCAGAGCGATTTTTATTATTTTTGGCATTTATATAGTGCCCTCATATTCCGTAGTGCTTTAAAATATTATAAAAGTAGTAAATTTAACAATAAATTAGCAATTACAAAATTTTACAGGAACAATAGGTCGATGAGGTCCCAGCTCAAACAAGCCTACAGTCTAGAGGAGGTGGTCTATAAAACACAATAGGACTGGCATTTAGATGGATAGGAACCAAACAACATGGTTGGAATTAAGAAGAGCTGGAGTTAAGAGTGGAGAGTGGCCCTTTAGGAGAGAGCAAGAGACAGGTATGTGAGATAATCATCACTCTGATAAGCCATAAGCTTTCCTGAAGAGATGGTTTTTCAGGGACTTCTTAAACAATTGAAGACTAAGCATCTGATGGCTGTAGTCAGGCTGTTCCAAAGGAAAGAAGCTGCCTGCGAGAAATCCTGCAAGCGCCAATTATAAATAAGCGTGCAAGCAGGGGACAGGAGAAGGTCATGGCAATGTGAAGAGACCAAGAAGGGGCATACCTACAATAGTGAGCTTTCAAGGACGGGCTGATGTGGGTACCATCAACTCGCAGGGAGAGCGAAAGAGAAGGATCAGTATTACGAAGAGAAAAGACAAGAAGCTCAATTTTAGAGAGATTGAGTTTCAAAAGCAGGAGGAAATCTAATCAGAGATGGAAGAAAGGCATTTTAGGACAGTAGTGGAGAGATCAGGAGAGGAAAGATATAGCTGGGTGTTATGTGCATAAAGATGGTAGCGGATTCCAAATAAAGTAATACATTTGCAAAGAAAGGAGTGTATGTACGCACTGTAACTATTGTTTGTATATAATAAATATTCCTTTATTAAGTTCTGCCTTTGTCTGGTAAAGTCTTGCGTTACCTGGTTACACGTTACCTGAAGAGACCAATTTATGTGTTTTGAAATTGCATAGATATTGTGTTTAATTGTATCTGGTAGGTTTTTATTGTAATTTACTTGGGTGCCTCTTTGATAAATTGTCTTGGTGGTGACAGAGTTAAAAATAGAAATAATTATTTTATAATTAAGTGTGGGTGGTGTTATGGGGGATTTGTATCATTATTTCTTGTCTACTGCAGACAAATAGGGAATTGTAACCATTTCACCACCAGAACCTAGTCACACGAACACTTGGAGTAGGGTGTGTTCGTCACAGACGGTTTGTAGCATTTCAGTGCAATTGTTTCAGGAAAAATGTATATATTATTATATACCGTATAAAATACTTTTGCAGTACACTAATAGATGTGTTTTTCTGCCTATCAGTGAGAAAAAATAATCAATAGAAAGAAAAAGCAGTAAGCAGTAAAAAAAAAAAAATCTCTATATGTCTATGATATATTGCTTAAATTTAACATATATATAAATATAGATTTATGTTTCTTTACTGGTCCCCATTTCTTGCCTTTATTTGTCACTTCTTACATGATCTATGAATAAAACCAAAATATACCGCTTGTCCCTGAGTCATCTTTTTTTTCCCAACAATCATCTCTTTTCCATTACTAGTAATTTTGGGGGGGAGCCAACAGAACTCAGTAATACGAATAATAATAAAAAATAAAAAAAACATAGCTGATGCATTGTCCGTTTATTTCTTTTGTAATTTGGTCATATGGCAATTCAGAAATTTGGACGACTTGCCGATCTCCCAAACTTTGAACATATTGTGATTTGGGAGAAAGTCTATTCAGGATCACAGTTATGTCAATCTATTGTTATCGTGATAGCCTTGTCTTCTTATCAGACCTGAGTGAGCCAACAAAGCGCGTTTATATATTTTAACACATTCTGTGACACCTTATAGTATAAATAAATGTATACATTGTAACAGCTCTGTTGTCTCGGTAGCCCTTACCACATCAGCCTGCCCAAATAGCCAATGACCAGGGGGTCTGGGGAAGGGACTTGAGTGATCAGGGGGTCCGGGGGTCCGGGAAAGGGACCTGAGTGACCAGGGGGTCTGGGGAAGGGACCTGAGTGACCAGGGGGTCTGGGGAAGGGAGCAATGCAATGCTGTCATCAAGTTCGTTCTCTTCTGGAAGAGCTAGATCTGCTTTAGCAGCACCAGAGACAAACAAAACACATACCCATCTATAGGCAGCAGAGGTTCCACCAGAGAGCCCAGACAGTTGACGATGCTTTCTATGTAACTGTCCTGTCTGATTGTCTTTGCAATGCAGCCTCAGTGAACTCTGCTCAGACAGCTACACTGTAGCTTTTACAAGAAAGAAAAAAAAAGTACACATATGCCCTCTAGTGCCATTGAGGATATACAAACAGTTAGATGATTCTACCTGCACACGCGTTATGGGATTTATCTACTAAACCAGGGGAAGTATGGAGATTTCTTATTAATGTTATTTGTAAAGCCCCAGCATATTCCCCAGCGCTGTACAGTAAATAGACAGACAACCAAGTTACAATAAGACAAGTTCAGAATAGAAGATGATGAGGGATATGCTTACACCAAGTACATGTAAAATGCATCCAGTAACACATGAGTTTAGAATATAGGATCCAGGAACAAATATGGCACATTCAGCAAGAGATGATGAGAAGTGAGTTAGGCATGCCGGGCTTATCAAATGGGGTTAAAACTATTTAACTCCAAAGTCTTCAAATTGGTGCCCAATTGCTCTGCCCATGAACTTCTACCCCCATGGTTGATACTTCAGTCAGAAAGCCTCTGACCACACGCAATGATTGGCTGGGAAAATCAGTTGACGGTGGTACGAAACACTGCAGAGTCTAGTCCCTCTTCTGCAAGTATATTGCCACCTTTGGCTGTGCCATTGGGGAATAATTAGGAGGGCCAGAACACGAGTTCAGGCTGGCTAATGTCAATTCTGTGCATAGTTCTATGAACAGAGGGTCAGCTGATACTCTCAATGAATGGCTAACAGAATTGGTTTGCGGCTTCTTCAGCTCTACAGAAACGAGATGCACGTCTCCAGGGTTGAAGACAAACCATCTGCAAAATGTTTTGCTCCATTACCGGGGAGAGAGAACAGCGTACTCCTGGCATCATAAGTATTACAGTAGCCCTTTAATAGGAATGATTGCACATACTCAGAGATCCTCCCATTCACCTCTAAAGAAGAAAGAGAATTGGTGGATCGCTTGAATATTGTTAGATGTTTCCAGGATCACACGGCATCAAACAAGTCTGGAGAAAATCTGCAAGACACTGATAGACAGACACAGGTTTCTATGCCTTATCTTTTATTGCAATTAATATCTTTTCTCTCAATTGTATAAAACTGTGAGGCTTATATTCCTCCCATATCATTGTTTTAAAACAGCAAATAAACAAATTATGTCTCCTTTTAAAAAAAATATTTGATTTCCAATATGATGGTGATATTTACATGCAACTTATTTTTAAAAATACCAAGGTTTAGAAAAGTAAATTACATCAACTAATTATAGATTACAGTTTGCCTGACTGTCACTCGCATAACTGACAAATGAATTGCAAATTATTTAACAACATAACTGAATTTCTAAAAGTGATCCAATTAAGTGTCTGTTTTGGACTCAAATTTGCAATTTCCATTATGGTAAATAACCATTTACAAAGGAAAAAACATATAGTGCGTGTCAGATAACTGACATAAAACTATATAAAAGTAGATACATAGAGTACTTTTTTTTTTTTTTTAAATCTCTAATTTCTTAATAAAACAATGTTTATTATTATGTTCAA